TGTGAGGAACATCGGCCCTGAGCTAACATCTGCCAATCCTCCTCTTTTTTCTGAGGAAGACTGGCCCTGGGCTAACATCCATGCCCATCTTCCTCCACTTTATATGGGACGCCACCACAGCATGGCCTGACAAGCAGTGCATCGGTGCATGCCTGGGATCCGAACTGGCGAACCCCGGGCCTCCGCAGCAGAGTGCATGCACTTAACCGCTTGAGCCACAGGGCCGGCCCCTCAGGTAAATTTCTTATTCATATATACGTAAAACTTTTGTCATTAAAATAACATAATTCATTAACAAGAGTAAAATAATGATTGTGCCAATGCTCTCTAGCCAGAGACCACCAGGATCATATCTGTAGTCAAAGAGAGTGGGGTGTACTGACTGCGAGCACTGGGGATGCTCACAGCTCTGCAGGACTGTAGGTGTGTCAGTAAGAGGGACATATGATGACACACAGGACATCAAGACATATTTGGACACAGAATATATCAAACAGTCTTGTGTGAGATGACCTGAGTGTCCCAGTGTTCCTTTACTCTGGATTAGATGCTGTCAGGAGGTAAACACAATTTTATGATTGGAGATCTTAAGAGTTCTTATCTAGAAAGCAGAAAGAACAGAGTGCAGCTAAAACAAGAAGCACGGAATGTTTGCTCATTTGTGTGGTTTGGATTCTGTTCCATTTGCCGCCTTTTTATGGACATGATTATATCGTGCTCTTTCTTTTGTCTTGACCCGTTGCAGTCACGGATTTGCCTCGTCTGATGACAGAGCTGGTGAAATTGTTTCTCCTGACGTGAGGAAGCCACAGCCCAGCAGTGAGTACCAGGCCAGCTTCCCAGTGTCTGAGGCTGCCTTTGCCATTCTCATTCACTACACAGACACTGACATATTTCTCACTATGTGTAGGGCACTATTTTAAATATTTTCCATAAAGTGACTAAATAACCATATAAAATCTAGTTCCTCCTCAGTTACCTAAGGCTATGAATGTAGGTGATTTACCAGAGGCCACAGCTAGGAAGGAACCTACACAGGATCATGGATTCAAATGAAGCCTATCTTCCTCAGAGTCCATAATCATCATCTGGTGCTAAATGTTGAGCATCCCTCATAGCCATGCACTCTAGGCTCAAAACAAACACTCTCCACACTAATGTAGGCCCTGCAGGCACTCGCCCACAGATCCCCATGTCTGCTCCCCACCTGCTTGGTCACGCCTGCTCCCTTGGTGCTCCCCTAGTGTCACCCCTTCTTGGGCTGCAGTGACTGTCTCTCTAGGACTTGAGTATAATGTGTCCCCTGAGCCTCCCTGTACCCGCTCTGTGGCCCCAGACGACTGGTTTTCCCTTAAAAGCACACAGAACAGGTGCAGAGTCACAGCGTCCAAACAGCATTCAGTGGGCATCCCCACTGTGAGCATTCTGTGAGCACTGAAACAACAAAACCATAAGTTCACAAGGAAAACACCCTCTGGGTATCTAGAAGGAGAACAATTGGTATAAAATGTTTCAAATCAGGAATCTCATGGTTCTGATATGGAAAAGCAAGAGACCCATGGAAAATGTCAACTATGGGCTCTTTCCACTGGTGGGGAAACTGCACAGTGTGGTTGTGGTCCACACCTTGCATGTGGGTACAGGTCAGTGCAGCTGTACCGAGCCTCATCAGTGTGTTGGGGTCCCCATAAACACTGGTCACATTGACTGTGAGTTGATGACACTGGACAGGAAAGTCCATTCTGACAATGGTTGGAATCGCTTAGGCACAGGCATCCTTTCTGGAAAGGCTGTACAGACATCTTTACTGACCATTTTGTCTCTCAAGTCCCTGGGGGACCAGTCACCTTGCACATCCTCTGAGACATGAAGCCACAACCAGGTCCACCCAAACTATAACAATATAACCACACCCAGGGCCAGAGAAGCATCCCTGGAGGCCATCTGACACAGAGAGAGAAACTGACCTGTGTCAACGGGGGCAGAGCAACAGGACCATGAGCATCATCCAGTGGAAATAACACAGAGAACATCCCTGGGCAGGAGCATCAGCAATCTATTACTACCCGTCATAGGGAGAAAGTCCTGTGGATACTCAGCACAATTAATGCCAACAAAAAGATAAAGAAGATGTCTCTATCATGGTATTGATTTTCCATTAAACCACTAAGAGCTATCATTTTGAAGCAGCATTTCCAGAAATTGGTAGAGTTTACTCAAGGCAGTTATGTCTATAAACTGGAGCTCTGTCTCCTAACTCATTCCCACCACAACTAAGTGCTCCCACCACCAGGAACACTGTTTGTCCTACTTGTCCACAGACAACTAGGGAAGATATACGTCCAGTTCTGCCTCCCACACTGTCGATCTGCAGGAGCAGTACTCCTGGTGATCTCAGGATGGAGACCACCGACATAAGCAATACTTAAGTTTTCATTATTAGGAATGAATAAGACATTTCAACAAAAATAAGTTAGTAGCTGCAAAGAAAGTTAAGAAAAACGCACCAGAAAGAATAATATCAAAAGGCATATGTATTGAGTACTATTCCCCAGAGTATATATGGAAAAGTTGACATAATTACAGGAATAAGTTAATTCTCCAAAATCGGATAGTTTAACATATCCTCTCAGTTAACAAAACATAGTAACACTTGTAAGCATAGAACAGATTTGACAACCTAGATAATGAGCTTTAGAAGGATGTAGAGAACGAAGTTTGAGAAAAAATGTACCTTGTTTTGAATGACACAAAAAAATGAAAGAAGTAAACACTGGGCAATCACACAAAAAATGAAAACTAAATATACAGGGTTGATCATTCAGAGAGCACTCAGAAGTAGGAGAAAACTCACATAAATTGCCATGTACGTTCACATGATTTCAGTCATGGAAGTATCCAGAAACTATAAACATAGGATCAGTGCAGCCTCTCAACAATGCAACCAGGGAAGGAAGTTTCCTCCATTTCTGGCTTTAACGTTAAACCTGTCAGGGTGGGAGCAGGAAACAGGTCCACTACTAGAGAACAAGATGCTCCCTACACAGTTCATGTGATTAGGAGAAGCCTTGGAGATGGAGAGGCCCCAGGATGAGACGATCACTGAGTGTGACAGCCTGAAGAAGTGGCCTGATGGACACCAGAGCTGCAGGAAAATGCACAGAACTGTGTGAACCTGAAAACCAAAGAGGGCCCATAATGGGGGAGCCTGTGGGAGAGTCTGTGGAATCTGCTGCCTGAGAGGGAACTCAAGTCAAACATGGGGTTTGGTTGGGGATGCTCCAGATGGGCAGAGCCTGAAGTCAGAAAAGTGCTGTGACGCAGGACCACCGGGTTCCCATGCACCCCTGTCTCCTGACAGGACCGAAGATTTGAGAGTCATGGCTTCCTCTCTTCTCCTTTCCAAACCTCATGCACCTTCCTCTGCTCATGACCTTTACCTCAGAACCACCAACAGAAAGACTCTGGGATACATGGTTTCCCCCCCTCACCCAAGCTGACAGGACAATTCAGTAGAAGCATCTGGACACCGGCTCTCACCTTGATGGCACAGCTCTCTCTTCTGAACTCAATGCATCATGTGCACTTCCAGCCAACATCAAGGACAATAACCACAGATCAAATTATGAATATAATCAGACAGAACTGTCCTCTTCCAAGATCTTTCCACAATTACTAATTTCTGTGAGAAACACAGATGTGATATCCACTAATACAAATGTGGAATCAATATCTTTCAATAACAAAGAATATAGAAGAGACATTGAGTCAGAAAATTCTAGTATCTGCACCAGTGGCCCAGAACATAAATTCCAACAATAAAGGTCTCATATCATGATCACATAGGAACATAATGGAAAGTAAGAATCAAAAATTGTTCATCCAAAATTACATCAGGGCCGGGCCCGTGGCTTAGCGGTTAAGTGTGCGTGCTTTGCTGCTGGCGGCCTGGGTTCGGATCCTGGGTGCACACCGATGCACCGCTTCTCCGGCCATGCTGAGGCCGCGTCCCACATGCAGCAACTAGAAGGATGTGCAGCTATGACATACAACTATCTACTGGGGCTTTGGGGGAAAAAATAAATAAAATTTAAAAAATAAATAAATAAAATTACATAAAACTGCACACGAAAACCACTTATCGCTACAGGGGCCAAAAGATGTTGTAATATAAATGAGACAAATGTGATACAACGTACAAATATTTAAAGTCCAAGATAATAAAATCTAATGTAGTACAGATGATGGGGATATAGAAAGATATTTATTATCTTCAGCGTTCATACTGACAAGATGAACTAAAAATCAATACACTGAGGATTCATACTAAGGATGAGACACTTACAAAGGCAAAACCACATTTATAACAGTTAAAAGATTTCTGTCCTGCCCTGAGTTTTCATGAAGAAAATAAGTGAAGTGCTCCACTGGGAGCTTTTCCCACAATCATGCTATTCATAAGCTATCTCTCCAGTACGTTTGCGTGCATTTACAACAAGGTTTTAAGAAGAATGAAGGCTTTCCCTCAGTCCCTGGGCTCAGATTTTTACCCTCCAGTGTCTGTTCTCCCATGGTTTCACATGGATGCAGCATATGTGTACACTTTCCCACAGTACTGACATTTATATGGTCTCTGCCCACTGTGGGTTCTCAGATGATGTTGAAAATGTTGAAGCTGCCTGAAAGCTTTCCCATACTGCTGACAATCATACGGTCTCTCTCCACCGTGGGTTCTGGCATGTACTTAAAGGGAGAAGTGACAGCTGAAGGCTTTCCCACAGTGCCGACATCCATAGGGTCTCTCCTTTGTGCATATTCTCACGGGTATCTGAGGTTTGTGGGTTATATGAAGTCTTTCCCGCACTGCTGACATTCATAGGGCTTCTCCCCAGTGTATATCCTCACATGTCCTCGAAGGGAGGAGTGAGTAGTGAAGGCTTCCCCACAGTGCTGACACTCATATGGTCTCTCCCTAGTGTGCGTTCTTTCAGGTTCTCAGAGGGAAGAGGAACAACTGAAAGCTTTGCAACACTCCTTACATTCACACTTTGTCTTCACCGTGCATTCTCACATGTTCGTGAACAGATGAGGAACAACTGTAGGCTTTCCCGCACTCTGTACATTCTTACAGTTTCACTCCACTGTGTGATTTCACGTGTCTTTTAAAGCTACTGGGATGACTGAAGGCTTTCCCACATTGCTCACAGACATGACGTTTCTCTCTAGTGTGCATTCTCATGTGTCCTCGCAGGGATGCGCGATAACCGAAAGCTTTGCCACAATGCTTACACTCATGGGGCTTCTCTCCAGTGTGCGTTCTCATGTGCTCCTGGAGGGAGGAGTAAAAACTGAAGGCTTTTCCACATTCCTGACATTCACAGGGTTTCTCTCCACTGTGGGTTTTGGCATGTAGATAAAGGGAGAAATGACTAGTGAAGGCTTTGCCACATTGCTGACACTTATAGGGTCTCTCCCCACTGTGGGTTCTCTCATAGACTTGAAGGGAGGAGTGACGAGTGAAGGCTTTCCCACAGTGTTGACACTCATAGGGTCTCTCCCCATTGTGCTGCCTCATGTGTACTTGCAGGGATGTGGAATCCCTGAAGGCTTTGCCACACTCCTTACATTCATAGGGTTTCTCTTCACTGTGAGTTCTCTCATGTATTTGAAGTGATGAGGAACATGTGAAGGCTGTCCCAAGTTCCTTACATTCACAGGGTTTCACAACACTGTGCATTCTCATGTGCCTTTGAAAATTTTGAGACATTTTGAAAGTTTTCCCACATTGCTGACATCCATAGGGTCTCTCCCCTGTGTGTGTTCTCAGATGCACTTGAAGGTGTCTGAGACACCTGAAGGCTTTCCCACACTGCTAACATTCATAGGGCTTCTCCCCACTGTGTATCCACATATGTCCCCAAAGTGAGGAGTGATATGTGAAGGTTTTCCCACAGTCCTGACACTCATATGGTCTCTCCCCAGCGTGCATTCTCACATGTTCTCAGAGGGAAGAGGAACTACTGAAGGCTTTACCACACTCCTTACATTCATAGGGTTTCACTCCACTGTGTGATTTCACGTGTCTTCTAAAGCTATCAGGACGACCGAAGGCTTTCCCACATTGCTCACAGACATGAGGCTTCTCTCTATGTGTGTTGTCATGTGTCCTCACAGGGATGCACGATAACTGCAAGCTTTGCCACACTGCTTACACACGTAGGGTTTGTCTCCAGTGTGCATCCTAATGTGTCCTTGCAGGGATGCAGGATAACTGAAGGCTTTCCCACACTCCTGACATTCATAGGGTTTCTCTCCAGTGTGTATTCTCATGTGTCATGTAAGGTAGTACTCACACATAAGGGATTTCCCACATACTTTACACACGTGGATTGTCTGTGCATGGTGACCCATCTCAAGTTCCTGTAAGGATGATGCACAAGTGTAAACTTTTGCACATTCCTGACACTCAAAAGATTTTTTACTATGGAGACTCTTCACGTTTCTCTTAGATGGCCTCCCAGTATCCTGATATTTATAGGGTTTCTCTACAATGCCTGCTTCCAGATGAGTACTTGGGCCTAAGACACTACTGCAGGGCTGCCTACATTCCTCACATGGATGAGGTTTGTGTCCACTGTGAGATCTTTGCTGATATTTAAGGGGAGAACAACCCATGAAGGCTTTTCCACACTTTGTGCATTCACTGGGTTTCAGTCCCGTCCGACACCTCTGATGCACAGGAAGGTTTCTAGTCTGGTCCAGAGTCTCTCCACAGAGATCACCTTCATTCCTTTCACAGAGACTCTCCACCGAATGACTTCTGTTCAAAATATGAAGCACACCATTAGGGATTAATGATTATAAGTGATTTCTTTATTAAAGATTTATTGATGGTTGTTAACGATTATTTTGACTATGTATTTGCCATTTTCAGTGAAAAGGAATGTTTTTGGCACTGTCTGCATTGGTACAAAATGGAAAAGATTAATGCTCTGGCTGAAAGCTCAAGTGTAGGCTTAACTTTCAGTGTTCATTACATATACTGTTTTCCAATCATTGTTTCCAATTGAATTATGTTTTAGAACCTCAATATCTACATCACATTTATGAAAATATTGTCGAGCAAAAGTTCTCTGAGGACACAATTGTTTGAATAGGTTCTACCTTTTCTTTAATTTCAAGTGAGTCTAACACTCTGCTGAGACCCCCTTCCTCCTGTGGGAATGCCACTCACCTCACATGCCTCTCCTGGTTTTGGTGCTGATCTCCAATGTTATGAAACGTCTGGTTTTCTCCAAAAACAGACCAAAAATCACATCTTATGAATCTTACTATTTTCTCTTCACTGGGTATGTTATTCTCCAATATATCCTGCTGAGGTCTTAATCCACTGGTTTTAACTTGAGTGCAACAATCTGCAACAATTGGTAGCATAATTTAATTTTCTTGGGAAAGAAATGGTGGGATAAAGGAAAGAAAATCGACTGTATGTGGATTTCTTTTCATATTGATGGTTTGTGCAGCTGCTGACTGCTCATGGAGAAGAGCTCACCATGAGGGAGGATGAGCGGAACAAACATTCCATGAAATGGGCCCATACTTTAGTCTTCAAGACCAGTGATGATGGATAAGTGTGGGGTTAATTTCAGCAAAATTACCACGTCAACTGTGTATTAACCACAGTGTAACTGTCACAGGAGTAGAAACCACAAAGTTGCTCTCACTGCCCCCAAGGTGGCAGTGGAGACTATGCTCACATTTATAAAATTAGGCAGACTTTTGGGGCCAGCTCTGTGGCATAGTGGTTAAGTTCGATGTGCTCTGCTGCAACAGCCCAGGTTTGCAGGTTTGGATCCCTGGTGCAGACCTAAACCACTCATCAGCCATGCTGTCGTGGTGACCCACATATAAATTAGAGGAAGTTTGGCACAGATGTTAGCTCAGTGCTAATCTTCCTCAAGCAAAAAAAAATGAAAGGTGGAAACAGGTGTTAGCCCAGGGTGAATTTTCCTCTGCAAAAAGAAAACAATTAGGGTAACTTTCGTTCAAGAGTAATAAAAAATCTGCTTAATACATGAAACGTTGTTTTCATGGGAAAGCTATTTGACTCTAGGTGGTTCCATGAAGGCTTGGACAGTGTCTCTCTTTTGTTCAACATATTCCCATTCCTTGGCCATAATAAGAAAAAATAATTGTAAGAAACATTTGTTCCCTATGGGCCGGCCCCGTGGCTTAGTGGTTAAGTGTGCGCACTCTGCTGCTGGCGCTCCGGGTTGGATCTCGGGCGTGCACTGACGTACCGCTTCTCCGGCCATGCTGGGGCCACATCCCACATAAAGCAACTAGAAGGATGTGCAACTATGACATACAACTACCTACTGGGGCTTTGGGGAAAAAATAAATTAATTAAATTAAAAAAAAAAAAATATTTGTTCTCTAAAAGACTGAGTGAAGGCATGAAGCCGTCCTCACCCACTGAGGCCAGGTTCCTGCACGTCTCCAGCATCACATCTCTGTAGAGCTTCCTCTGAGCAGCATCCAGCAAAGCCCACTCCTCCAGGGTGAAGTTCACAGTCACGTCCTCAAAGACCACCAAGTCCTGAAACAGCCCACATACTCTATTTCAGCCAGGCCCCATCTTCACCAGTGTGTGTGAATTACTGAATTACTACAACTCTTGAGCTCACACTCTCGTGGGAAATCACAATAAACAAGCAAATCAAAAGCAGTATGCTCAGTGATGGTAAGTGCTTAGAATTTGAAGCAAAGTGCGACCACAACAATTGTTATAAACTCATACATGCGTGATTATAAGAATTATTTTCCCTGAGAGTAGACAGTGAGGTAAAGACTGAAAAATGAAATCATCTTTCAGATAACATGGGAATTGATACTTGGATTGATCAAAAGTTAGGTCCTTTTCAGCTCCAAGAACTGGAACCAGAACGTCAGGATGTTGTGAACACTGACATTTCCAATGCTGCTTGAGCTGAATTATCTTTCCTTGGAGGCAACAGGGTTGAAGACCCTGGTCTAATCTCCTCACATCTGACAAAGGAAGACACACGACCCCCTCCCAGGATGAGGTGGACCCTGTGGGCATAGATGTGGGCCAGGGCCCCAGGCCTGGCACACCTGATGGGTAAGAGAAGAGAATGTGTCAAGCTGCAGGGCTGTCAAATAAGAACCAAGTACCAGAAATTCAATGAATATGGCCCCACAAAGAAGAGTCATTGAAGGATCTGAAGGCAATAGAGCCAAACCTGACTTTAACAGAGAAAAATAAACATACCTAATTAATATTTTTAGTGCAATATGAAATGACAACACAGCCATGAAATAAAGAGCAAACAATTACAAACAAAAATCATAGACTGTTTAAACAAAAACTATGTACTAAAATATCTAAAGAAAAAGTAACAACTACATCAGCTATGAAGAAGGTCAGGCTACCTCACCTTGGGGAGTAACTAGGGTTTGCCAAGCACACATCCAATAGGAGACTTGTATTCTTACTATATTTAAAAAACTCGTATTACAACATTAGAAAGTGAAAGACAATATAAAGATGAATAACACAATTAAATACTGGGCAGAGAATATGAGTAGACATTTCTCTAAAGAAATATAAATGGCCAGAGCCAGCCCTGATGGCCTAGTGGTTCAAGTTCAGCCCTCTCACTGCTTCAGCAGCCCAGGTTCATTTCCCAGTCATGGAACCACACCACCCACCTGTCAGTGGCCATACTGTGGTGGCGGCTCGCATGGAAATACTAGAAGGACTTACAACTAGGATATACAACCATGCACTGGGGCTTTGGGGAGGAAAAAAAGAAAAAGAGGAAGATTGGCAACAGATATTAGCTCATGGCAAATCTTTCCCTGAGGAAAAAAAGAAATACAAGTGGCCAATAAGCACATAAAAAGATGCTAAACATCAGTCACCAGGGAAATGCAAACCAAAACTACAAGCAGACCCTCATCACACCCTCGAGGATGTCTATAAGATGGACAAACAAGTGCTGGCGGGATGTGAGGAAGCTGGAACCCTCACACGTTGCTGACAGGAATGTAAATGGTGCAGCCACTTTGGAAGACAGTCTGGCGGGTCCTCAATGATGAACACAGAGCTATTCACAGCAGCGTGATTCATAATAGATGAAGCCTGTAAACAACTCAAAAGTCCATCAAGTCATCTGGATAAACCAAATGTGAAATATTCAAACAACAGAGAATGATTGGGCAATGAGAGGAATGAAGTCCTGGTCCACGGCACAAAAGAATTGAACCTGGAGAACAGGAACCAGCTTCAGAAAAGACCACACGAAGCAGGATCTCAAGTGTATGAATTGTACAGAATACGCCAATCTACAGACACAGAAGTAGATTAATAAATTGTCTAGAACCCAGGGAGGGGGTGGACTGGAGAGCAGACAGCCAGCCAGTAGACATGAGTTTTCTTTATGGGGTGATAAAAATATTCTAAAATTAGAACATGGGGATAGTTGCACAACTCTGTAAATATACTAACTACCCTTGAATTTTATACTTTAAACAGGTAAACTTTATAGTACGTAAAATATATCTCAATTAAAGCTGTTTAAAAATAGATTCAGACAAGAGAAAAATAAATCCTTCTTCAACTAATAGAAATTTTATCCAAAAACAGCAAATGAAGTGTGGAAAAGTAACAAAATTACTGATGTTTGAGAGATTAAGCAGATTGAGGAGCTATTACAAACCATTTGTGGGAGAAAATATTTTAGATTAGACACAATGGGACAAATGTACAGACATCAGGAAACATACCTGAGATGATTCAGTGAACAGAATATTGGAGAATGTCTGTGCTCATTAAAGAAACGAAATCAGTAGATTCAAGTATCCCCACACTCTAAATGTAAATCTCATAGGGTTCACAGACCAGGTACCAAATATTCAAAAGTTGGTGACTCCGAATTGTAGAAAGAAATTTCAGAGTGTTACTAACATGAGAAACAGAGGAGTCAAAAAATATTCAAAGACAACTTTCATAAATACAAAGGTAGAAAGCTTTTTAAAAGAAAATCTAACACATAAATGCATGAACAGCATAATGAGTCAAAACCAGGTTCACTTTATTCCAGAAAGGCAAGATGGATGAAATATTGATTCTTTAATGAGTATAATTTGTCCCATTATGGAAAAAAGACACAGAAACCACAGGCTTCCCGTCCACACCTACTGAAGACACTCCTGTCTCTTCTCAGTGTTCATTAATGACAACACACTGACAGACCAGAAGGGAACACACGTAGCCAGAAAAAAATGGTGTCTAAAGAAAACTACGGCCAACTTCCTATTTAACGTGAAATATGGACACTGTCCCTCTGGGATCAGGAAAAAGAAGGTGAGGACGTGCATATGTACAATTCTACCCACGTGAAGGCCGAGCCAGTGCAGCCACGGGAAACAAGACATTGGTAAAAGCTTTATAAAGGGAAAACACTACATTTCGTGATTAGTGATGAAAAAATTTAGCATTTAGAAATCCACAAATCCTAAAGACACATTATTAAAACTTTCAACTGGCTTAGCAAGGGTGCAGTGAAAAGTATAATATCTGAAAATCAATTTCTGTTCTATATACAGTGACAAGAAGAAAATGATATTTCAGGATACCATTGAGTCTGCTTCTCCCCACTCTCCCAGGCACCCCACTTGTGGCCAACAATCGTCAAGGCTGTGATAAGTGCCAGCAAGGACCAGGAGATGGACTAGAAGCGTTACATTCTATTTCTAAAGGAGAGGGAAGTTTCTGGGAATTCAGTCCAGTTTCCTTTCAATATGGGGTGAAAATGGTGATCCCAAAGCCTGGTTAGTAAATTTCCTGGACAGAAACACAGCCCCAGACCCCACCTCCACGTGCAGCTGTAACACAGAGCATGTCAGCCAGTTTCCAGGAAGCACAGCGGTTCATCTTGGAACCCCCACGACCTAGGTATTGTCTGAATCTGCCACGGACAGTTCCCAAAGAATCATCCCACTAATCCTGCGACTTCCATGAGCAACATCATCTCAGTTGAAACTCCTAACATGACCCCATCAAGCAAGAGAAAAACAGCAAAGAACAACTTTCAGAAGCACAGAATCGTGAGCTGACAGATAAAACAGATGAGCAAGGAGATCCTCCTGGAGGATGGGCTGGGCTGATGTGGTGAAGACTCGTAAAGGAAACCTATGGTTTCTCATCGTCTGTGTTGTCAACTACCCAGCTCTTCCCCCGTGAGTTTCTTCCCTGTGTGTGTCTCCTGTACCTTCACAGTGAACACTTCACTTCTGACACTTCTGGTCACCAGTGTGTGGTGGGGGTTTCTCCAGACCAAGCAATTCTCTACAACACCAGCTGGGTGTCCTCCATGTTAACTCAGTTCTGACACCATGTACCTGGAGACAACGTCGGATCCCACAGGTAAGGCTCAGGCCCACAAGACTGCCCTCGTACCCCCCAAACACACACACTTCAGAGAACAGTTGTGTGGCCAGGTTGTCAGTTGTGCTTCTAACCAACGGGCTACAGATCAGAGATTCCAACAACCCCTCCTTGGGTCTGATTAATTCGCTAGAGCGGTTCACAGAACTCAGGGAAACATTACTTACGTTCAGCAGTTTATTAAAGGACGTGATAAAGCAAACAGATGAACATCCAGGTAGAAGAGATGAGTAGGGCCAGGTGTGCGGGAAGGGGCGGACCTTCCACGCCCTCTCTGAGCAGACCACCCTCCCCAAACCTCCACCTGTTCACCAACCTGGAAGCTCTCCAAACGCTGCACTATTGGGATTCTTAGAGAGACTTCATCACATAGGAGGAAGATCGATCATTAACTTCATTTTCATTCCTTCTCCCCTCTTAGGAGAATGAGGGCAGGGCTGAAAATTCTAAGCTTCTAATCATGGCTTCATCTTTCCAGTGATGAGACCTGATCCGGGAGCTCACCCAGAGTCACCTCATTAGAACAAAACACACTCCTATCCCCCGGAAATTCCAAAGCATGACAGGAGCCCTGTCAGAAACTGGGGGCAGAAAACAATATGTATTTTCTATTATCTCACAAGGCTTCAACAAAAATGGCTCTAAAGGTGATGAACTGTGCTCAGACCTGGAGATGAGGAAAGAAAATCCTTTAAAACGTAAACTGGGTTCAAAATCCTTCATGACTCTTTCCTGGTAGGGAGGAGGCTTTTTATAAAACACAATTGGGGGGTATGTTTCTTAGGTAAAAAATGTTGTAAGCTGACAGTTCACGAAGGGATGTGGTTGTATTAAATTATCTTCACAAACCTGCCCTCATGAAAAGGGATCACGTCACCTTCAGTGCACTTTATGAAGCCTGCTGTGCTTTGAGAATCGGCAAATGAGGAATAATAAGGAATCAGTGTTAATTCGTAAGATCTTATTCTAGTGGATGTTATACATTTTTAAAGGTTACTGATGCAAATAATGATCATTCTATAAATCAAAACTGGGGTGAGTTTATCATATGAGCCAATCTGAGGACTATATAGTCGGGAGAAGCACCCTCCACCAGGGAAGGAAACGCTTGGAAGAAGCAAGGTGTCCAGCGTGGTTATATGCTGTTTTGAACAAGAAAGATCCTTGGGCCGGCCGGGCAGCGCAAGCAGTTAAGTGCGCGCAGTCCGCTGCAGCGGCCTGGGGTTCGCTGGTTTGGATCCCAGGCGCACACCGACACACCGCTTGGCAGGCCATGCTGTGGAAGCGTCCCATATAAAGTAGAGGAAGATGGGCACGGATGTTAGCCCACGGCCAGTCTTCTTCAGCAAAAAGAGGATGATTGGAGACAGATGTTAGCTTAGGGCCAATCTTCCTCACAAAAAAAAAAAAAAAGATCCAACAAATATAACAGGAATATCTTTTTTTACTCTTGTCACAAGATGTTTTGCTAGCACTGCAGGTCAGAGGTCACAAGATGTACGCCATAGGTCAGTTGGACCCTTAGTTTCCGGGAAGAAATGGTCATCTCTAAAGAAATGCTGATGGGGGAGGCACACATCCCTACCTTTAAAGGTAGCATTCTTTGCTGTGGGACATTGTCAATGTTTAAAGCAGATATTCACCACATGCTGGACAGGCCATGTTAGGCCATTCCGAAAAACAAGGTCGGGCCAAAGTAGTTTTAAACCAAATGGCTTCCTCACATACGTCAATATATTAACTCTTCACTTACTCATCTAGGTATATGAAAGTCCGTTTCAAACTCTCATCCCAATGGAGCAAAATACCAAGGGAACAGTTATTCCACCACATGATCCATATTAATGGACTTCCCATCTGAAACCAAGTCTTCATCTCGTCTCTTTATTCCTGAAGCAGAAACTGTTTCAGAGAAATTTAAATACCAATATTGGAACTGTATATGAAATCCTCTTTGTAGTTCCTTTATTTTTCAAAGATGACTGTTCTCCTTGAGTAAACAGATATCTGCTTACACTTGTCTCTTGGTGGGGATAAGATGTGCGTGGTCATAAGCGCTCTCAATGGCATGTGGGAGAGGAGAATATAACAAACCTGCCCAATGCATTTGAGGTGAAATGCTAGTTCCTATTTTAAATACAGCTCTCTGCTGCATGCACCAGGATGGGAGTAAAAAGATACCTTAATTTGTCATTTTAATATTGTTGGGGACAACGAGTTTAAGAAATTCTTATCGGGACCGGCCCCGTGGCTTAGCGGTTAAGTGCGCGTGCTCCGCTACTGGCGGCCTGGGTTCAGATCCCGGGCACGCACTGACGCACCGCTTCTCCGGCCATGCTGAGGCCGCGTCCCACATACAGCAACTAGCAGGATGTGCAACTATAACATACAACTATCTACTGGGGCTTTGGGGAGAAAAAGGGAAAAAAAAAAGGAGGATTGCCAATAGATGTTAGCTCAGGGCTGATCTTCCTCAGAAAAACAAAAAATTCTTATTAATGTTCTATTCTGTGTTTTTAATTGTTTCATAGTTAAGGTCTTCAAAATGGCTTAACATAAAACCACATTTAAAGTTTTGTTTCTTTTCAGAGAGTGTTTTCAAGTATCTGTTGGCGGAGGTCATCGAGAAGACGAGACGGTGGGTTGACCCTGGAGCTGAACCCAGGCAATTGGAGGCTCCCCACCCGTCCTCTGTGCTTGGAATGTGTGTTCCCCTGGCCTTCCCAGCTCCCGGAAGCTGCCCCAGGAACACAGCCTTGAGAGAGAGATTCAGTGTTGAGACCATCTGGACTGTGTATGTCAATGAACCCAGTTAAGGTCGCTATATAAACTTTTAAGATTTGGAGACCGGGAGCAGAAAATTACTAATCTTTTGGCTGCATAAGAAAAGCCTCCATGAGTTTCCTTGCTCATTAAAACTGCCGCCTACAGTCTGGAGTAGTCTGCCTTTCTTGGGTCTCTCCCTGTCCTCCCCACCCCGGGGCCAATATCAGTGTCCATCTGGGAAGCTCCTGAGGTTGTGACCCAAGCATGCAATTATATCACACTCTGAGCTCTTTATAATAATAGACACAGAAATCTCTCCAAAGCTGAACTGTAGTACATGATAGAGTTTTTAAAATCATTAAAAGAGGGAAATAATGTTTTCACTTTGCCAGGAAAAAATATTCAAACAGAAGAAAAAATTTGCCTTTATTCATAGCTCAATTGTTTATGTGATAATGTCATACTCCCTCACCAAAATACAAAGATAACCACAGAATCAGATTATTAGTAAGTTTCCAGGATGCACTGTCATAAAATAAATCTCTGTATTTACATCACTAAAAACAAGCAAATTGAACAGTAAATTTTTAAAACAGACTTTGTTAACATGGATTTTTAAAACTATGTGCTATTACAACAAATTTTCAAATTCTAAACATGTCTAATGAAGCATATAAAGGGATTTAATGGAAAAACTCTGAAACATTATTGCTTCGGACACGACAATGGAATGAAACAAACGGAGAGATGGCGCACGTCCTCAGAAAGGAGACCATGATGTCAGCTCTGCCAAACGGGTCAAAAGGTTTAAGAAAACTGAATTAAATCTACAACCAGGTGGGTTTTGTGTTTGTTTTTCTTTTCCTTGAACTTAAGAAAAACTACTTCTAAAAACTGAAATGGAAAACAAATTTCTAAGAATATCTGACATTTTCTATAAAACAAGTCCGTGGGGTTTTCCCTGACAAACATGAAAGTGTTTTAAACCACAGCACCACCTGGACCAGGCCCCCGTGATGTTGGCAGGTGGATCTGCCCCAGAGCAGGCAGTGCCGGGCAGCGCTAGAGATGGTGACACTTTAACACGTGGGGTAGTGATGACTGGTTATCTACAGGGGAATAAGGAATCTGTTTTCTTATCAACCTCATGTACAATAACCAACTCACCATAGATTTAACTATGAGAGATGAAAGTAGGACACTGAGAAGAAGTTACACAAAACACCATTATGACATAAAGAAGAGACAGAGAAACTCAAGTCTATTAAAGTAAGAGTCCACCAACGTGTAAAATACAGAGAGACAAATTATAAACCACGATCTGGGAGGAGATATTTGCAATACCTAGAAATGAAAAAGGATGACTGTCCAGACCATGGAAAGAAAACATAAGAAATCAGTAACACACAAATGAATTAGAGGGGAGGACATGACTGAAATCTCTCTGAAGGGAGATGAAATGCCTCACGAGAAATGCTCAACCCCAATGGGAATCATACAAACCAATGTGAAACCCCAGGAGATCCCGCTTCACACTCGAGAGGGACAAATGTCAGTTACTCCAAGTGCTGGAAATGACGTGGAATAAACACATGTGTGTGACAGTAAGACACTGGATTCGCACACTCCTCCATCCGCATTTCCTACTAAATTGGAACATATCCATAATTTACAAGCCCACAATTAACTCTCCAACGTGTAAATATTTGTGACCCATTTGCACATGGAGACACACACAAGAATGACTGCAGCAGCACTGCTGACAAAAGGGAAAAATAAACATGAGACAACCCAGGCCCCACAAGGACTGGAAGGGAGGAGGCACCCGGGTGACCCCAGATGTAAAGCTGCAGAGAGCAACACAGAGAACCAGGAGCAGGTCACCCTGGGGGAGCACCTGGGAGACGCCACCAACCAACCAAGAAGACACAAACCTTACACCTTCACATAATGGGACAGCAGTCTGAGTGCTCGAGCGCCCTGGGGCCACCCAGCAGCAGAGCCCCTCAGGAGACGGGAAGCGCAGCCCAGCGTGAGCCCACTCAGACCAGGACCCGCACCACAGCGCACACGGCCACCCGAAGGCACAAGGTGGAACCTGACCCTGAGCTGGGGGCCCGGCCCCCTGCTGAGAGGGAGCCAGGGTGGCCCCTCCCAGGGAAGGACTGAGGGGACCCTGAGACCCCTGGGGACTGAAAGCAGCTGCACACACCCTGGTCCCCCTCCTCAGTGTGGAAACGCCCCCCTCCAGGCCTCAATTCTCCCCAGGTAGGAGATGCTCAGAGATCACGTTCTGACCCGTATAAACTCGCACTCCATAAACCCTTCCAGCAGCAGATGAACCCAAGGAGCTTCCCCAAGTCTGACCTTCACAGACTCACTCAGTTTGCACACACCACACTTCACTCCACCCACTCTATGGAGGATGCAAAACCGACCCTCAGGACACAGCCCCAGGGCAGCCCCACCCCGCCCCCAGCACCTCTGCAGGGGGGTCTCCCTGCCCCTGCTCTGTGGCTGCTCTCAGCACCAACAGCTCCTTCTGCGGTGGTTCTGGGGGTGGAGTCACCTGCAGGGGTGAAGCCCAGAAAGACCCCACTGCCCCTTCCTTCACCTCCCAGGCAGGATTAGCTTTAGGAGCAGCTTGGCCCCAGCCCAGGAGATGCACCTGCTCCAAGACCCCTGGATCATTTAAATGGGACAAAAACCCCATCCCACTGTGTGGATGAGAACCCACAGAATCCTGCTTCCCCCTGTGTCAAGCATAAAGCAGGGGAGGGGAATTTTTGGGCACTTTTATGGTTTAAATAACTACAAACTGCTTATCCCTTTGGAAAACAGACGCCGGTTCACTACTGTCCTCATGATAAAAAATTGTAAATCAAGGAATCAGATTGAACACGTCTCAGTTTCACAGGTCACATTTCACAGAATTTGCACTAATTTCTGACGAACAGCTATTAACAGGACAGGATGACACTGTCACAAACTCTGCACCCTGCATGGAACAGTCACTGTGATTTTTATGAACCTCCTTAACCCATGATGCCCCCCACCTGCATGAAGGAGCGGGACCCCGTGCACTTCTCCCGCAATTCTCCTGGGAGAGAGGACGTTCTCTGTACTGAGATACTCTCCGCAGCCGCACCTCTGGAATGCCCCGGAATAACACGAGTCAGCAGAACAGGGCAGAGACCTGAGACACTGACACCCCCACTACGGGGAAGAGACGAGGCGAAAAGAATCCAGTGACTTCACACCTGCTGAACCTGAAGCTGGACTAAGAGAAAGCTATTCGTGCAGGGAGGGACACAGAGGGGGCAGCTCACAGGTGTCAGGTGACAATGCGGAATCCTCCCTGAGCCCTGGGCTCCTGGAAACATCCAGGGAAGGTGAGAGGAACCCCTCCCCCACCCTTTTGTGTTCTGGAAACCTGCACGCCTGAAGAAACCTCCCCCCCTTCCCCAAAGGGCTTAGATAAGACGCACACCGAGGCCCCTCCCGTTTATCCGGGACAAGGCCAGACACAGACGCTCCCAAATCTCCATTCTGTGTCGTGTCAATGATTAGCTGAACTGCTCGTCCACTGACAAGCAGAACGAATGCGTGTTGGCCCCACTGGCTCAGCCTCTCTCCCCCCGCAGACCCCTGAGCTGCGGCCGCCCTCAGCCTGGTCAGCAGACAGCCCCTCCCAGGACAGGCTGGGCTCAGGGACCTGCCAGCCCAACATCACGCCTGCTTCTCCTGGTCGTGTCTGCTCCTCTCTGCACAGAGACACTCCGCCCGACTCTGGAGACGCCTGCAGATCTTAAGGCCAGAGCCCCCTCCCCCACTGCAGAGCCCCCGCCCTGACCGCCCGGCTGGGGGTCGTCCCTACCCCTCCGACCCCGCCCGGCCATGGACTAGCGGGGAAGACGGGGAACCCGGGAGCCCCACGCGGGGTCGGGACGGGAGCCGGGACCCTCCCCTCGGCCGAGAGCGGGGGCTTGGGGGGGACCCGGGGGGCGCGGGGAGACCCGGGGCCGCGGCCGCTTCCAGCCGGTTCGAACCAGCCACTCCCGGTCCCGGCCCGGCCCGCGCACTCACCATCTCCGCCCGCTCCGGACCCTTCGGGCGTCCTCCTCGCGCCTCCGCGGTCCCGGCAGGTGAGAGCGACGGGGACGAGACACCTGGGGCCGCGCGGGGCAAGTGCGCGCGGGGCAATTACGCGCGGGGACGCGGCCGGAGAGCGACGTCCGCGCGGATGCGAGTGCGCCCGCCCCCAGGTTTTACTGGACGGTTCTCCAGGCTCCTGCGTTTTGATTGGACGGTATTTCAGGCACTCGCCCTCGCAGTCACTCTGATTGGACATTGTTCCAGCACATAACCGGGTCCTGATTGGACTGTTGCCCAAGACCCTCCTCTGTCCCTTGATTGAGCAGGACCTGGCCGCCCCAGCGCGCCCCGCTCCTCTCTGGTCCCGCCCTCGTAGCCCCTGATTGGACAGTGTTACCTCCCCGGAGGCGTGTCTGACAGGCGCGGGCGGTGGTCACGTGGTTGGGCCGGGCGGAAGTGCGGGTTCCTGGCCTCAGCTGTTCGTTGTCGGGATTCCTCATGGGACACAGACCAGCCCAGCCAGGTGGCCGTCTTGAATCTCCCATGGCCCCAGCTGTCATTTGATTTACAGCCATTGTCCACCCATCTTAACTTCCCTGATTCAGGAGAAGACAGCTGCCACGTTACAAGGACGTCAGGATGGCAAAAGTCTGGCAACGAGGGGCTATTTGCAGAGGCAGAATTGACTTCGTCCACATGTCCCACAATCTTCATAGATGCTGTTGTTGCTGCCTTTGCATGAATGTCAGCCCGGGCATTCTCCTGCTGCTCAGGTTCAGTTCTAGTGTGAGCCTCAACTCTGATGAGAGACCCAGTTTAGTTTTATCACTTTCCTTTCTATGAAGCATTTTTGCAAAAGCATCAGAGTAACTATCAATAACAAAGGCCTTAAAAATGGTGCATTATAATGCAATTGACAAAGAAGTTTACTCATTTCTGTGACATACAACATCTTAAGATACTAACTAGAGTCATGACTGATAATGTTATATCAGGACGTGGATTCTGAGAAATTTCACAAAATTTAAAGAATATTTATGTACCTAAGCAAATACAACAAAAAGAAGACTAAATGTTATTTCTTATTTGACAACTTCCTATGTAATATAACATCAAATAAGCCTAATTAGTTTAGCAGATCTTTTCGAATATTCCACGTTAAAAAAGACATCATTTAGAATCTGTTTTGGGGAAGTTTCTCTAAAAATACTTCTGAAAAAGTGTTTAAAACAGTTGGTCAAATAGGGTCATAAGTTTTACCCTTTTTGTGGACATAACATGGTCTTCCTTTTGTCTTGACCCACTGCAGTTAAGGATTCACCTCATCTGATGACACAGCAAGTGAAATTGCTTCTGGTCGACGAGAGGAAGCCATAGCCCAGCAGTGACTGTAAGGCCAGCTTCCAGGTGTCTGAGGCTGTCTTTGCCATTCTCATTTACTAGGTAAACTGTGACATATTTCTAACAATGTATTAGGCACTGTTTTAAATATTTTCCATAAAGAGACTCTTAGCATATATAAATCTAGTTCCTCCTCATCAAACTCTATAAGGCAGGTACTTTTATTATCTCCTTGGATGAGTTAACTGAGACTATGAAGGTAGGTGATTTGCCAGAGATCACCAAGCTAGCAAGGAACCAACTGAAGATCATGACTAAAACCTGGCCTTTCTTTCTCAGATTCCACAGTCATCATCTGTGCTAAATGCTGAGCATCCCTCATAGTCACACCCTCTAGGCTTGAAACAGAGTTCTCCACACTAACGTAGGCCCTGCAGGCACTTGCCTATGGGTCCTCATGTTTTCTGCTCCCCACCTGCTCAGATGCACCTGGTACCTTAGCGCTCCACAAGTGTCCACCGTTCTTAGGCTGCAGTGACTCTGTCTCTATAGGATTTGGGTAAGATAACTGTTTTCCTAAGACTTCATGTGGCTGCACATGACTGCCCATCCCCTAGTGAGTTGATGACACTGGAGAGGAAAGTCAATCCTGACAGTGGCTGGAATCGCTGAGCTACAGGCACCCTCTCTGAAAAGGCTGTACAGACCTCTTTACTGGCCATTTCCTCTCTCAAGCCCTTGGGCGACCAGTCACCTTACACAACCTCTTGAGACATGAAGCCCCAGCTAGGTCCACCCAAACTACAAGATGTCCACCATGCCGAGGGCCAGAGAAGCATCCCTGGAGGCCATCTAACACAGAGGGAGAAACTAACCTGTGTCATCGGGGGCAGAGCAACAGAACTGTAAGTGGTGAGAATGAAGAGAAAAAGCACGGTCCATTTGTCATCAGTGGAAATAACACAAGGGGCCTCCCTGAGCAGGAGCTGAAACAATCTGTTACCACGGGTCATAGGGAGAAATGGCCTGTGGATGGATACTCAGCACAATTACTGCCAACAAGACAGAGAAGATGTCTATTCTGGTATCTATTTTTCATAATATCACTAAGAGCTATGTGGAGAAGTACATTTAGAAGCATCATTTCCAGAAATTAATAAAGTTTACTCAAGGCAGTTATGTCCATAAACTGGACCTCTGGCTCCTCTCACTCCCACCATGACTAAGTACTCCCCTCACCAAGAACAGTTCTACTTGTTCACAGACAACTAGGGAAGATGTATATCTTGTTCTGCCTCCCACACTGTTGATCTGCAGAAGCATGACTCCTGGTGATCTCAGGCTGGAGACGACTGACATTAGCAATATTTAGGTTTTCAGTATTAGGAATGAAGAAATTATTTTAATGAAAGTAGTTGACAGCTGCAGAGAAAATTAAGAAAAACACCAGAAAGAAGAATGTCAAAGAGTACATATATTTAGTACTATTACCCCAAAATATATATAGAAAAATTGATATAATTACAAAAATAATGTTATAGAATGGGATATTTTAACCTATCCTCTCAACAAATAAAACATACAACAGAATATCACTTGTAAACATACAACAGATTAGAAAATACAGATAATGAGCTCTCAAGCAAACAATGTAAAGAACCATCTTTGACAAAAAATATACATTATTTTGAATGACATAAAAATATGAAAGACATAAACACTGAGTAATCACACATAAAAACGTAAAGTATTAAATATACTGCATTTATCATTCAGAGAGCAGTCAGCAGTAAGAGTAAAGTCACACAAACTGCCAAATACGTTCACGTGGTTTCAATCACAGAAGTATCCAGAAACTAGAAATGCAGGGTCACTGCAAGCTCTTAATAGTGCAACGAGGAAGGAAGTTCCCTCCATTATTGGCTTTGGTGTTGAACCTATCAGAGTGGGGACAGGAAACAGGTCCACTACTAGAGAACAAGATGCTCCCTACAGAGCATGTGATTAGGAAAAGCCTTGGAGATGGAGGGGGCCGAAGATGAGAAGATCACTGAGTGACAGCCTGAATAAGTGGCCTGAGGGACACCACAGAGCTGCAGGAAAATGCACAGAACTCTGTGAACCTGAAAACCAAAGAGGGCCCACAATGGGGGAGCGTGTGGGAGAGTCTGTGGAATCTGCTGCCTGAGAGGAAACTCAATTCAAACATAGGGTTTGGTTGGGGCTGTCCCAGACGGGCAGAGCCAGAAGTCAGAAAACTGCTGTGTGGGCCGGCCCCGTGGCTTAGCGGTTGAGTGTGCACGCTCCGCTGCTGGTGGCCTGGGTTCGGATCCCGGGCGCGCACCGACACACTGCTTCTCCGGCCATGCTGAGGCCGTGTCCCACATACAGCAACTGGAAAGATGTGCATCTCTGACATACAACTATCTACTGGGGCTTTGTGGGAAAAAAACAAATAAATAAAATTATAAAAAAAAAAGAAAAGAAAAGTGCTGTGACACAGGCCCACCAGGTTCCCATGCACTCCTGTCCCCTGACAGGACAGAAGATGTGAGAGTCATGGCTTCCTCTCTTCTTCTTTCCAAACCTCACGCACCTTCTTCTGCTGATGAACTTTACCTCAGAACCACAAACAGAAGGATTCTGGGATACATGGTTTCCCCCCCTCACCCAAGCTGACAGCACAATTCAGTAGAAACTTCTGGACACCCGCTCTTACCTTCATGGTACAACTCTCTTCTGAACTCAATGCATCGTGTGCACTTCCAGTCAAGATCAAGGATGATAACCACAGATCAAATTATGAATATAATCAGATAGGACTGTCCTCTTCCAAGATCTTTCCACAATTACTAATTTCCATGAGAAACACAAATGTGGTCTCCAGTAACACAAACAAATGTGGAATCGATATCTTTCAATGAGAAAGAATACAAAGAAGAGTAGATAGTGAGTCAGAAAATTCTAGTGTCTGCACCAGTGGACTCAAGGAGAAATTTCAACAATACAGGTATCAGATCATGGTCACATAAGAACATAACGGAAACTAAGAATAAAAAAAATGTTCATCTAGAATTATATCAAATCAAACATGAAAAAACAAAAACCACTTATCACCACAGAGTCCAAAAAATGTTCTAATGTAAATTACACAAAGGTTATACAACTGTTCAACTATTTAAAGTCCAAGAAAACAAAATCTATGCAGTACAGATATTGAGAAATAAAAAGATATTTATTATCTTCAGTGTTCATATCACCAACGTGAACTAGAAATCAATGCAATAGGGATCCAAACTAAAGATGAGACACGTCTAAGAAACTTAAACTACAGACTAAGGAAACACTTACAAAGGCAAAACCACATTTATAACCATTGAAAGATTTGTCCTGACCTGAGTTTTCATAAACAAAATAAGTGAAGTGCTACACCTGAAAGTTTTCCCACAATCTTGCTATCAAAAACTATCTTTCTAGTGTGTTTGCTTGCATTTACAACAAGGTGTTAAGAATAGCGATTTCTCTGTCCTTGGATGCACATCTTACTCTCCAACGTGTCTTTATACAGCGATGCAGGATATGTGTACACTTTCTCACAGTACTGACATTAATATGGTCTCTCCCCACTGTGAGTTCTCAGATGACATTGAAAGTGTGGAGGCTATCTGATAACTTTCCCACACAGCTGACAGTCATAGGGTCTCTCTCCACTGTGGGTTCTGGCATGTAGGTGAAGAGAGCAGTGACGACTGAAGGTTTTCCCACAGTGCTGACATTCATAGGGTCTCTCCCTTGTGTGTGTTCTCACATGCACCTGAAGGTCTGTGGGATATCTGAAGGCTTTCCCACACTGCTTACATTCATAGGGTCTCTCCCCAGTGTGAATTATCACATGTCGTCGAAGGGAGGAGTCAC